AATCTTATTACCGGCGACCAAATGAGAATCTAAAACAGCCGCCTTTTTCAACGCGACTATAATTAATAACGGAGTAGGTACCGTATGTTTTCGAAGGCGATGGTGGAAGTAGTAGCGTCGGCAGTCTCAAAAGTTGCAATAATCTTGCAGATGGAACATTATTGAAATTCATCGGTGCTTTGGTCATGAACAGATACAGCGAAGTTTTTCATATATTTTCTGGTGGAACAAAACCTATGTCTTGTCATATCCAAAATCTAATCAAATAATATTCACAATGTTCCTTATTACAATATCTACTCTATACGTAAACACAAAAACATGTTTTGTAAAAACATCAATTCTAGAATAGGTTAGATTAGGTATTATAAAGATATATAGAAATATATTGCTTTGTAGGGTTTCAATCCGCGTCTTAAACACGACTAGTGTTTTCCCTAAACAAACGAACAACTAAATAAAAACTATATATCACAAGTGTTTTTTTTTTTTTTTTTTTATGTACAAATAATGTTTACTTATATATTATTGAGTTTAAATTAATTTCATTGGAAATAAACTTCCATTCAAAGGTCGTGGAAACAGTATATTCAACATGTCATTACATTTTTTTATCGTTTCTATATTGCGCCCAGTGGTCCCAAACGCACTGTTCATTAAATCTGTATTACGTATAAGGCTGCTGGTTTTTAATAGTTTTACAATCTTGTCGTTTCAATCTTACACCGAAAACACGAACATTATTTCGAATATCTACGTTTGTTAATTCGTTAATGTAACGTCATCATACCGCTAAAACAAAAATCGAAATAAAAATTATTTATTTTAGTAATATGTCCATCCTTTACGATATAAAAATATATTTTATTTAATAAGTACTCGTAGATCTCTATATATTTGTTTTTTATCGTCAGATCAGTTAATTTGTGTTTAATATTATTAATTTTTTACATAATATCCGATAATATTATCTGCGGTACCTATAGAACAAATACCTTCTAATTCCGTCAATATCTTTTTCCAATATTCTATCTTTCATTTGTCTCCTTCTGCACGGTTTTCAGTGTTGTTTGATATTTTACACATACTTCCTATTTTCTAGCATTTCTATTTATTTAGCTACTGTCTGAATTTTTTTTTTTTTTTACCCAACTCAGAAATCAAAATAATTTTATTTCATTATTACACTATATTACTGCTAGTATTACACGCGGTATACATTAATTTAAGTTTTGCCGAAGACATTGCAAAAATGGTTTTCTAATAAATGTTATTATTACGTGTTTTGAAAGATTTTTCTTTATTACTATTTGTATACATTGATACACTGCATGAATTACGCTTATATTCTTACATGATGATATACAAATACTAGAAACGATGAAAACAAAGAAAACAAATTAAATAGATTCTGGGCCCAAAGCGGCGTCAACACGTAAAACCTTATTTCCATTTTACGAGTATTTTATAGGAATACGATACATTTATTTTTCGCGTTCTTTTTTTTCTACGCGAACTTTGAAAAAAATAAAATATACATATATTATTATATTTCATTATTATTTAACAAATTATCTTTTAAAGACCATATCGTATAAACAATACCTATTCAACGCCGTCGTACAATAACGGTCACGCAACAACAACAAACTAACAATCATATATTCTAACAAATTCGAATAATGATAGCTGCTGTATTATTCGGCAAGTTTCAAGTCGAGTATGCTGCGGATGTCACCGCGGGATGAAAACATCAACCTATAATATCTTTAACGATATTATTAATTATTACTATTGTATTTAGTTGACAGTTTGGTCGGCGCGCATTGCAACTCGTCGGAAAACCGAACCTCTTTACCATGTTTAGCTTATTTTTTGTTGTTGTCTAAGCCTAACCAAGATGTACAACACTGTAGAAAACTTAGCTAGCTGCGGATGCTGACAGCGCAGCCAAGTTTGAAGCAGTAACGACTTTACGAAGGAGAAGAACAATACTCCTGCTGCTCAGTAACTAAAATAAATAATTAAGTTGCAATCGTATTAAAACAAATTATAATGTTTTAATATTAATTATTTTTATATTGAATTTATAACAATATTTAGACAGATTTGAACTATTTTCATTGACATTTTTGATAATAGATAGAATTATATTTATTGCACACGCTATAGTAAAGTGAATCCATAATACAGTAATTAATATAGTATTTATTTTATATTTTGTAAAAATGTAGTCAATATTTTGATAAATAAACATAAAAACGTGGCATAAAATTTAACACACAAAAAAACATATTTAGATCTAAAATATTTTGGTTAAATAAATACCTTGCAAAATATTTTAAAACAATTTAATGGTTTCTTTAATATAAAAAAAATAGAATATTAGGGACAGACTATTTAAAACAAATTGTTGTAAAGAAAACTAACTAAAGACTGATCTGGCTGGACTTATGGAATTTTAAATTCATTACAAACTAATCCAAAGTTATGTAACAAGACCGGACCGAGAATTTAATAAAAACATATCATAAAAATAATCATTAAACAAAAATAATCTCTGTCCAGCCTGTTACATATTTTTGGATTAGTCTGTAATGAACTTAAAATGCAATATTTCAATAAATATTTTCATGATATGTTTTTATTAAATTAATTTTTTATTACTTTTACTTTTAGTGATAGATTTGCAGTTTTATAAAATACTACTAAGTGAGTTATTTATAATTATTATCTATTATCATATTAGATGAAAATTCTTAATTTAAAAATATACAGTTAATCTAGGTAACCAAAACCTTGAAAAATATATTAACACCAGGTCAATTGTGAACCAAAAATTGGCCGATTCGATCCGGGCCTAAAATTTTCAATATTGCAATTCTCACAATATATTTATATCATATTAGTATATTTATACCAGAAGTCTATAAATGCTCTAAGAATTTTACCTTTGGAAAAACTTTAAGTAAAGTCTTGAACAATGTTTCAATATTATATATGTAATAGAGTAACAGACTACAGTCTAAGAGACTTATTATGTTTTCCATTAATTTTTGATTTTAAATCTCACAGACAATAGCTTACATATTTGTCGTTTTATGGTGTATTAATTATTAAAAACAAATAAATGATTTGGCCGAATCAAATCCGCCAACGTCTATTCTCTATGATAGAGTATTTAGAATGTATTCTTGTCGCTTAGTTTATTATTTATTAGTATAGGTAATGTACAAATGCGGAAAATTTAATTCTGAAATGAAACTAGAACAAAATCAAAAAATCTTAAATCGCTGAGCAATGATTTGAAAGTATTGTTATTTTATTATATTATAATTAAATATTAAAAGTATCATATTATATTATTTTTATTTTTATTTTTATTGTATATATGTATAGGTACAATGCAGATTTTACATCAAAACAATATCTATAAAAAAAAGTCGGGTAACTTACCCTGTTGCATTGTATTTATTAATTGTACCATTCGTACCACGTTATTGAAAAGGTTAGTATAATGGATGTGCTGTATTTGATGATAAGTCATTATACACAATAAAAAGCCATTCTGAGCATAACCGTCTACATATCCAAGAACATATTGTTATACCTATAATTATATTAACACAGAAACAATAGACAATTTTTGATTAATAATTTATTATACTGCGGGTGAAGTTGATTTTTGTAAAAAACAAATGACATGAATAAAATAATGATTATTGAACATTATATTATTTCATCTAATATGACTAGTTTTCTTTAACTTACAATAAGTCAATATCGACGTATAGAAAAATTATATAAATTGATTAGAGGAATAAATAACTTAAAATTAATCTAAATATTTTGAAAATCCCATTGTGTGCAGTGTAATTAATAATATACGAAGTGGTGAAAAGTTTCAAGTCCCTACAAATGAATAATTTCGGCTTTTGCCGCTTTTAAATAACGGTAAAATAACTAAAATATTTATTGTTTGTACAAACAAAAATTTTTAATAACATTTGAACTTAAATCGTCTATAAAAAAAAATTGTGTACAAGAATCAGATTGTAAGAACTATTTATAAAAAGCTTAGCATAACATTTTAAAACCTTATAGCTTCTAAAGTTTAAAAAAATTATAAATTTTTAACCCTAAAACAATTTTGTTATTTTTACGAACACTTAAAAATTTAACTTCAAACGCTTCTGAAAAGAAATTCATGCTTATACATTTTCAATATTTTTGAATTACTAAAAAGAAACAACGTATCTGAAATCCTGATTAAGTATTTAAGATTTTGAAAAATGATGATTGATAATGGTTTCGCGTTTCTGTTTAGCTTATGAATTACAATAAGACGGAAAAAAATCGTTCGCGCAGAAATCACGAAACAATATCCAATGTCGTCGTCAAACTTCAAAACACAGGGTTTTTGTCGATTATTTTGAAAAGTACTGGGGAATCTATAGTATCGTCGTCGGCTAGGGTATATGGACTAGACCCGGTTTGCTACGCACCGAGAAACCATTACCTAATCGAAAACCAAAGCGATTTTTTTTTCTCTTACTGTTTCCAAGAGGCGGTCAAAAATGAAAAAAAAAAACACGCGTATCGTCGATTGTAAAATCGATATCGACGCGATTTAAAAAAATAAAAAAAAAAACCCCAAAACAAATAAATAACGCGACTGTGGCTGTCCATTTCTTCGCGTATACCGTTTCTTATCTTCTCGTAATTTTTGAACAGAAATCTCGAGCAACGGAATTCTCACGACGACGTCGTCTACGCCGCACGACCGAAGCGCCACGGCGGCGGCGACTGCGAGCAGTATAACATTACGTATATAGGTACCCGCGACGGACGAGTAGCAGTGACCGCCGCCGCCGCCGCCGATGCCGCCGATGCCGCCGCGTGCGAGTGTACACAACGGTAATATTACGGCGGTACGGCGAGGTGACGAGGAAGCGGGTGGAGGAAGATCGCGGTGACCGAACGGCCACGGCGGCGTTCAACAGTCGTCAGTCCGTCAGTCGTCGTCAAACAGTCGGCCGCGCGTCACCGTCACCGTCACCGTTCATCACCCGCTCCCGACCACACGAATCTGCCACGTTTCCACCAGCGGAACGACTCTTTTTTTTTTTTTCCCTCCGATTTTCCACATCATCATTGTCATCGTTACCATTATTGCCATCATTCCTCCTACTCGGCCGACAATGAGGTGCAGCTGGTTATGCGCGTTGGCCGCCGCGTGCGCCGCCGTGGCCCTGGCCCAGGCCGCCGATCAACAGTCCGAGACGCTGGCCAACGGCCTGAAGATCGAGTACGTGTACACGCTGGACGGATGCGAGCCCAAGTCCAAGGCCAACGACATGCTCACCATGCACTACACCGGCAAACTGGTGGACGGCACCAAGTTCGATTCCAGGTAAGCGCCCGGCAGACCCTTTTTTCCGCGCGCATAGGTGTACCTCCCCTAATGGTATATGTTACGTGTGTAAACGTACAGGTTATTATCGTTCGATACGATATTGGACGGATGTATCGGACCTTGAACGCGGCGGACGACGATGTCCGAACCGTCTCTGTTCGTCGACACGTCGGCGGACGGTATAAATAAAAAATTGTCGAACTCGTAAAAAAAATTTAAAAAATAATACACGCCCAATTCAACCGGTGTTCTAGTAGATATAGGTATGTTGCTATCGGTGGCGGTAGTTTTCGCGTTGTCATAATATAATATAGTCTCCACACGTTCTCCTCCTAGACATGTCAATAGTCATTACAACTCGCTATACGAATTATGCGATAGACATTACAGTGCACACAAAATATAATTATTGTCAATAGAATTTTAGTGTAAAACGTCTTCTCCGGGACACGATCTGTGTTGTTCCGAATGAATTTTATTCACTTTCATTTATCAAGTGCCCGTCATCACTTCTTTGTGTACAATCGGCACAATGAGACTTGTAGCAATCCGTTGAACATACCACTTCTGCGGCAGCAGTGTCCGTTTTCGGTCAGTTTTTCGACTACCTACCTACTGTGGCTATTGTGGCAGTATTATTATTCAAAAGTATTTCCTATCGGTCATTTACCATTTATAACACTGCTCCATACACAAAACTAGTGCACTTGTTAATATGACCATCCGTCATTGTGTTAAGATGCCGAAAGTGCGCGTTTAATAAAAAAAAAAAAAAAAAAAACGATGCAGTCTCGAAAGATATTTCTCGATCCGTGACAAGGACATCAGCTAACGTGTCACTGCACCTATCATCAATACCGCCTACATATTAAAATACTATTATAGTCGCCGTCATTTCCAATTTCCCTCCATTGGATGATTATAGCGCGTCGCCAACACGGCTACACAACAAGTGGCGTTTATAAATCGCACCTGTTACGAAAACCTCAATAATTAAATAATATTTTATCGTCGCGTATTATTATGCAAACGTTTTTATTGCGGCGATCGAGTCTACTGCTGCTAATAATTTATCTTAACTGTGTACACTTTGCGACTAACGCGCACATGCCGTTATGTGTACGGTCGTTACGGTTAATAATAATAACGTCATCATCGTGTCGTCGCTATATAATGACGTTTTATGTACGAAACCGCCTCGATAACTCTAAGTCCTCGATTCGATATACGCGTCCGTTATCGCTTAGTTGGGCGATGGGCGTAACATCTGAATTCCACGTAGTTACAGTCGGACATGTTAATGTTTGATTGTTGTTTTATTATATAACACATATTTTTTTGGCTATCAATGAGTTATGACGTGTTTATGTCGTGAACATTTAAAATATAGAAAATTTTCCATTATGCTGACGAGTATACCGAACCATCCGTGGGCTGTGCGCGAAATTAAGCTAAGTTAGGTTTTTACCCATAGGGCACTTATTTTTTAGATCCTTTTATTATTATAAAAATGCATAAAAAAGTTGTAATAAAGTTCACACATCACATTAACAAATTATTATCACTCCGCGGATACAATAAACCAAGCCACCATCATCCTCCCCCCTCATTGAAACCTACTTAGAAGATAAATTTCTCCTAACCTAGATTTATTGTCAATTTATAAAAATGTGCAAATACTTATAAGTACACTAATATACCCAATTATACCCAAACCAGCTAAAATATTTTTAGATTATAGTTTATCATTTTTTTTTTTTTTTTTTAAACTACGAGTATTTAACTCTTACCTTTATATACAACCATATTGGTGCCAGATCACCACTTTTCTTTCTATAGAATATAGATCCTGGCTACGATGATATATAGGTTTCATTGCCGTTGACCGAGAAACAAGGACTACATGATGTGTTTTTTAGAGTTAACGGTTTTCATACGCGTTTGATGATACGACTCACTGATCATTAGATTGTTTTAATTATATGTGCATAATACGTACACAGAGTATTATAAAAGAAAATTATAGTATAATAATTGTGTAGGTACATATAATGGAATACGCATTTACAGATTAATAATATTATCATAATAGACTCTGTCCTAATTAAACCATTTAAACCTGACTGATAACAATACAGTTGGACTGAATAAAAATATAATATATAACGATATTAATGTGTAACGTGTGTAATTAACAACTGTTATAAATACTAATAACATTAGTAAGCAGTATAAGTGTATAAGACTTATATTATACGCATTTATACTTATATAATATGTATTATCGTTTTAAGCAGTTTCCCAACTGTTTAAAAACCGGTTTATCGGAGAACGTATATCGTATCATTTTCTAAACTCGAAATACTTGAAAAACGTCTAGAACGTATATGAAGAATATTTTTTTACTTGCGACACGTAACCATTTAGGTACTACAACGTGTAACCTATACATTTATTGTTAACTTAAACATTTCTGGTCGTAACTGCGGCAAAAGACTATGTAAAGACCGTATAGTATTGCCCAGTACATCGGTTATCTTTCAATACAATTTATACGTCCATTTTATCATTAAACATAAAATTGTCCACCCAATATGCATGTTTTTCATCCAAGAGAATTTTTTTTAACTCGTTTTTGAATAAAGCGGATAAGACTTTTATACTTAACTTTTGATCATTACATTTTAATACTGTGACTATAATTAATCGTATTCATCTTTACGATAGACAAACGAAACTCGGTAACCAATATTGTGCAGAAAATGTACCAAAGAAAATTCTCATCATTAATTTTGAATAGACTTTCTGCTCTTACTTTACCTACCTGAAAGGACCTGAGATATCTCGAGCTACCTCGGTAAACTATAAATTAATAGCTTTCGCCTCTAATTCCCATCACGCATCCGCGCCGCCCCTCTTAAAGCTTTGTCTCCTGGGAACACGGTAGAAATAATTTAACCAATTTATTAAAACACAACGCTTCAAATGACATAAAATCTAAGGCTTTCAGGTAGAAAACGATAACGATAATACGTGAATTTACAGGTGAACGATTGCTCATCAAATCTATTTTTAATCCAACATGAGATACGTCTTAACAGAGTCATACGCGATCAATAGAAATTATAATCAACACTCAAATTGAATACCAACTGAATAATATTATATTTTCCACTTGTGGTCAATAAAAATTGTTTAATGAGCACTTAATACTTCCTAACCTAGTCATAAAAACGATCCGTCAGCTATCACAATAAATATTCGCTGAAATATCATGTCCAATGCGTATATACTGTATAATAAATGTTATTGTATGTATTAAGTGTCGAGTTAAAATATTTTTCTGAACAAAATTGATATAAATAATAACAATAAATAATCAATATATAACATCTGAGTGATGAATATATATATATATATAATATTTAAGTTTCACTTTTAAACTCGTGATAGGGATATAACCGAATATCTAAAGTCAGTCTAAATAAACGGAAACTTCTATATATAACACAATACTACAATACGTCAATAGCTTAAATTCATAGTTAAAATATAGTTTTTATGCTTGAAATATTATGTGTGAAACATTGATTGAAATCGTTCCAAGTATTTCACCTTTTGAAATGCTGCTGTTATCCGTATTCAAACAAACTTATTAAGAAGCTATCAGATAACAAATTAAAAATGTATGCGTTCGTGTATCAAATATAAATAATTATATAGCATATTTCTATATATTTATAAGTACCTATAGACAATAACGCGTAATCACTCGGTTGATCTAATTTATTTAGAATTATTTTGTTTCATATTTTATATTATACGTTGCATCACGAATAATGTTCACTTTTCTGTGGTTACAATAATAAGACACGGACAATAAACATCGGACACATTCTTTACATGGAAATTTCATTTGACGCTAATTCATATACGAATAATTAATGTTGATGATGAGAGATTGTCAGTGATAGTCGGCTGTCAAACTTCGTTGGAAATCCAAAAGCTTCAATAATGAAATCTGTCAACGCAGTGTCACCAAATTTTCCGTTACGGGTTAAAAGAACAATGGGTCGACATATTATGACAATAAGCTACGTGAAAATCCTTTTAGTGATAATGTTCAGGGGCGTGGGTCGTGTACATAAACTGCGAACCGTTAAGCGTGTACAACAATATTAAATTCATCATTATTAGAAAATTCAAGAAATATGATAATATAAAATAATTTTTTTAAATTGTTATCTTTCATTTTAGCATCGCTCGATTAATCATAAGTCATAAAGCATAGAGACGTAACGTAACATATTATATACCTATACAAAACGTGTGTTTTGTATCCTTTCTACTAGTTTTTGAATTTCGTAATTTTTTTCCTCGGTAAAGGAATGTAGAAAAAACCTTATTTTGTTTTTTTTTCTAACTGAGTATAAGGATCCAGCTAAGGAACATATATTCTGGAAAAGCCGGTGTAAATCATTTGTCACCGTAGTGCACGTTGGTTCGCATAGTGAAAAAGGGGAAGTTTTGCAGAATACCGTTAAAAAATAAAAAAAAAAATAGACGTCCGGGTAATCGGTTCTCATTTTCATTGGGAAATGTAGTGTAGTAACATAGGACCAAATGATAAATGACTGTATTTTATGATAACTAAATATCGCCAAAGCATTTATATAACATATATAACTGACATACCTACGTTACTTTTTCTATGACATTCTGTTACTACATTATTATATCCTTATGACGCTTTAATATAAATCATACACTTCACCATGCTACTCTACGCCGAAATATCGAGAAAAATAAGAACTTTAACTTTTTTTCAAACTCTATAACATCAGCAACAAATCCATCAAATCGTTTTCAATACGTCTAAACCGCACATCTCATCACTAACTGCACAGGTCGTGAGCTAAAATTATTCTCAAAAATATTTCAAAAATACAATAAAATACAATTATATGCACCAAGACATAAACACCCAATAAATAAAT